GGAGAGCTAAACCTCCCAGAGGAGTCCCCAGCGGAACATTTCCCTGGAGCCGGCATCTCAATCATCCTGTCTTGACTGTACACCAACCGCGAGGGGTACTCCCTTATATGGGCTATATAGGTATATGCGGCCCCAAAGGGTATAGTTTTCAACCATTTTGGTCATAAATAGGGTATGGGTTTTGCACTCTAGTCTTGAATTGGGTATATTTTTTTTAGAAGAAGCTACTTTTTCATCATCATCGATAAGACCGTCAACAACATTCGTTCCAGGAACCTGATCCGTTCATAAATTATCTTTAGGGCAATTGTGCCAGCTGCAATGCTCATAAAGAGAGTATCGACGTTTTGGTCAGGCCATAAATAGAGTAGAGTATCGCCGATTTTGGTCATAAATACGGTAACGATTTTGGGAAGCGGGCCGCACACCCCATCCAATTTTTCTAGGAGTAACCTCCCCGGATACCAACACAGGGCTATTCAACTAATCCTTTAAATTTCAATAATTCCAGTACATTCAGTAACGTTTTTTATGAGTACCTGTTTGTCGATACCTACAGCATCTATCCCATCATACATTATGGTCACCCAGCCGTCTTTAGTTGAGAACACGAACAATGTCAACAACGCCTGTCAGAGAAAAGGAGGGTGAATCATTTGACAACTGAATGTTTCTACACAAAGGCCATTTGTATACGGTATCTGGAGCTATTTGAATTCAGGGTTATGGTATTTTATTTGTCACAATTCGGGTATAAAGTATCTAGTTCTTTAGACATGAAATAAATGTAGATAATTTTAGGTTGTTTTATAAGTCATCCATCACGTGTTTTTAATGTGAATGTAGTTAGACATTTTGAATTTATTCTATTCCCTTTTTACTCGATGTAAATTAATTCTGAAAAACTCATCTGGGAGAATAAATAAAATGTATTGTATTGTATTGTTGTTAGCATCACATGTCTTACAATTTTGAGGTATATTGGTAACTTATGGGGAAAAAAATCGGTTACCGATTGGTATCCCAATATCCCCCCTGGCCGGAACTCTTCACAAGATTTCTCTAATAGGAGTTAAAAACTACATTAGTATGGTATCGCGCGCTTTTTTTTTATTAAAATTGTGCGGCGAGAAAAACACCGGATTACGCGCCATAACAGCGCCGAGCTACAAACAACCAAACAAACTCTCGCAACTTCAAAACACTCAACTGAATTTACTTAAGCTTACAGTGACTTTCCTTGCCATTTAAAAGTAAATAGAGATAAACTTGCTTTGACGTCGATGGAAGTGTAAAAAGGGCAAAGGTTGACCATTACCGCTAGTTTACTCACGAAAATTGACCAACACGACAATTTCACCCGCGCTGTTTCCTGCCGTTACCGTGCATGACCGTGGTCAGAGATAAGAAAATCCGGACCGCGCTAAGAACCAATCAGATTGCAGGATCCGTTACCGTGCCCTCTTAGGAAAAAAAATATTTTTTTCTTGTATAAAAACGTTTTTCACTGGCTATTTTTTGTGTAGTTTGAATTCCAGAAGGCCAAACAGTATAAACAGAAAACCTCAGGACAAAGTTATAAAACTCAAATCAAAATTATCGCCGGCTTATCCTGGGTTAGCTCAATCGGACTTTGAACAACCCGGCCCAAGAGCTCCGCTTTTAGGCTTAGCTAAATCTATATATTATAATTTACTTTGATGTGAATAACCCTTACGGCTGGGCGATGAGCTTGCCACTGCCAAAAAGCGGTTTCAAGTGGAAGCGAGTCATTCCCACAAAACTGACAAATAATGAAAATGAAAGAAAATTCAAAGAAGGGGCGGATACCTGGAGTACCCTAAAGAGTTGCACGAGCAACACAACAGCTATCCACTTGTGCCGGAGAAAAAGATCATTGAAAAGAGGTTGATGGCAGTTTACCAAAAGCGTTTGATGGAAGACTTGAAATTGTACCCCCGAAAAGCGAGAAGCTGGTGCTGACGCTGGAGGACAAAAAAAATTACGCGCTTCACTACAGAGACCTGCAGTTTTATCTAAAAAGGTCTAATCAGAATAAAGGATGACGCGATCCCGTCACATGATGATTGATGGATGGGTAATAGATAAGAATAAATCGCGTAAATTTGTTCACGGTCGATTCATGGTCGATGACTTCAGCGCCAAAGAATTTCATAAGTTCATAGCACGTGTCAACAGAAAAAAGGGAATGGAAATCTTACTAAGTTTCTAACACTTTTGCCGTTAAATTAAACAATCTTCGACGTTTTCCTCAAATTAGAATATTGCAAACTAGTCAAAAGTGACGTCAGTTCTAGCCATCAGATGTGTTTATCAACTTGTCAGTTACTTAGCATAATTAACCGGAAAAAAAAATCATTGAATTGAGAGCAAAATACAGAAAACACAATAGCCTGCAGTTACACTTCAATACACTTTTGAAAGCGAAAGCTGAATATATTATTCGCACAGATACCACACATATCCATTAGGTCTGCATGCATTGTCTGTGTACATTTGTCTGTTTGTTACGAATGAGCTAAATTTGAGTCCTTGATTTCAGGTGATTGTATTCAAGTTGCCCTTGATTGAAACGAAAGCGAACTATCTTTATGAGGTTGATAACATC